ATTTTTGTGTACCTTTGACACTTTCCAATAATAAAAAGGAAAAAATATATAAGAACAAATTTGAAGGGACTCTAACTGGCCTAAGGTGAAATAATTTATGCACCAAAAAGAAAAAATGACTGCAGTTAGTTAAAATACATCAAATTTCCAAAATCCATGAGTCCTTATTAATACCAAAAGTATCACTACCACTGAAGCAGTGATACCAATGAATGAGACACCCATTCATTACACACAAAAAATGATGAAAGGAAAAAATCAGGAATTTATTCTGCTTTTCATTTACAAATTGTATTTCAGGATACGGCAGCCATGGAGGTATAACTCTCAGAACTTCATTCAAGAAAGCCCTTTCCATTTTGTGGTAAGAAATACAGTTAACTGCCCCCCCAGCAGTTGGCACCTTTAGGATCCACATTAGCTTTTGAGCTGGGCCACCTCTTTCCAGGTAGTCCACAGTCAACTAAGCAGGGCAGAGGAAGCAACTGCTGGCCATGTCCACCAAATGTGGGACTTCTCCAGTGGACAGTCTCTACTCCCCAGGTCCTCATTGCATTGAGCAAGACCAGACCGTCAGACCTGATTCACTATCTCAGGCTTCTAGTGTCCCTACTCAATATGACTTCCTTCACTTTTCATTGTTCACAGGTGTTACCTCTCAATAAACCCCTTGCACTTTTGTGTCTCAGTTTCCGACTCCCAGAGGGTCCATCAGACATACAGATTAACCAAAGAGTTTATGACAGTCCTTCTTTATGAAAGTTAATAAATGTACAAGGAGTTAAAATATTAGAAAGTCATCTTTTATAAAAACTGACCACTTATTACTTTTACTGGGAAATAAATAAATGAATAAATAAATAAATAAATAAAATCCATGAGCCTGAATATAATCAAACATCTAGCTCTATCAGTTTATAGGAAACACAGTGACAACACAGTGACTAAGTGGAAATTGCCATGAGAAATCAATCGGGCAAGTCAATAATGTTGGACATTCTACAAAATAAATGACTAGGGTTTTTTCCCAGCAAATCAATGTCAACAAGGAGAAAGAGAAAAATAATCCTCACTCAACTCATAAAATTAGATCACCGTTATCCTGTTAATAAAACCAGGCAAAGACAGTGAAAGAAAAGAAAATTACAGCCAACATTTCTTATGAACATAGATGCAAAAATTCCCAATAAAGTATAATCCAATTGAACCAAGCTATAGGTGAACACTATAATACACAGTGACCAAGTGGGATTTTTCCCAAGAATGAAAGGTCGACTTGATATTCAAGAATAATCAATGTAATTTATAATCTTAACAGTTCAAAGAAGGAAAACCACATGATTATATCAATTAATGCAAAAAGCACTTGACAAAATTCATTATCCATTAATGATTTAAAAACCTCATCAAATTAGGAATAAAATGCAATCTCCTAAATCTAATAAAGATTATCTACAAAAGTCTACTTTAAAAAAATTGTATTTAATGCGAAATCCTGAATACTTTCACCTCAAGGTCAAGAGCAAACCAGAATATCCATTCTTACCATTCAAGGTAGTGTAGTGTTGGCAAAGTGGGGAGGTAGATACATAGATCAATGAAATGGAACAATGTCCAGAACTAGTGCCATACAAATATGAGAATGTAAAAATATAAGATTGGTTCAAACATATGAGTTGATAAATATGGTCCATTGATTTCTACAAAAATGCGAAGGCAATTAAATACAAAAAACGGATGCTCTTTCCAACGAGTGGCATTAGAAGAATTAGACAACTATATGCAAAGAAATGAGTCTCAGCATAAATCTCACACCTTATAAAAATTACTGAATGGAACATAGATCTAAATGAACAACGTATGATATAAAGTTATTAAAATAAAACATTGGAGGAAAATTTTAGGACTAGAGTTGGGTAAAAGAGTTCTTAGATGTAATACCAAGCACAGGACCCATAAAAGAAAAAGGTTAATAAATTGAAATTCATCAAAATGAAAACTTTTGCTCTATAAAACATACTGTTAAGAGAATGAAAGGACTAGAAACTGCCTTGTGACCCCTTGAAACCTGAGAGCATGGAAGATTTGTGAGATGCTGCTACAAGGTGATGTCTCAGTTGCTTTGCTATCTACCAAGAAGATTGTCAGGGACATATTCTTACTGCTTAAGAGTTCTGATGGAGTCTGAGCCTTTTGGCCTCACCACCCTTAAGGTGCAACTGCAGCTATAAAACTATTTAGCAGCAACATGCAGTGGACTCAGCAAGAGTGTCCCATTATTCTTGTGGCAGTCATCTGGTCTCCTTGTTTGACTATGATCCTGTGCAAAAGCCTCAGAAAACTGACACCTTTGACTGCTCACCTTTTTGCTTTCTGTGTAAGCAATAAACTGAGTCCTGAAAAGGTTCATTGTTCCTTTACAAGCTGAATCTGTCAGCCTTGTGCTTGACAGTGTAGGGATACATGGAGAGTCTTCAAAGCTCAATTTAAAAAAAAAAACAAGCAACCCAACTGAAAAATGAACAGAATTCACCAAAAAAGATATGTGGCAGGCAAATATACACATAAAAAGTTGTTCATTGTCATTAGATATTGGGGAAAGGCAAATTAAAACCATATACCACTACATACCTATTAGAAAAAATAACATAAAAAATACAAGTGCTAGGGAATTGAACTCTTACATTGGCAAGAAGGCCAAAATGATAAAGCCATTCTGGAAAAACAGTCTGGCAATTTCTTATAAAGTTAAAACATACATTTATCTATCTAATGTAACAATTCCTCTTCCTAGGTATCTTAGCAATCAAGATTTCTTTTTTAAGAAATTTATTTTATTGATTATGTTATTACAGTTGTCCCAAGTTTCCCACTTTGCCCTCCTCCGCCCAGTATCCCCATTCTCTCCAGCAATCCCCTCCTTTAGTTCATGTCCATGGGTCATGCATATAAGTTCTTTAGCTTTTCCATTTCCTATACTGTCCTTAACATCCCCCTGTCTATTTTCTACCAACCAATTTGTACTTCTTATCTCTGCATCTTTTCCCCCATTTTCCCCTTTCTCTCTTCCAGCTGATAATCCTCTGAATGGTCTCCATATGCATGATTCTGTTCCTGTTCTGGTTCTTTACTTTGTCTTTTAGATTCAGTAGTTGATGGTAGTGAATTTATTGCCATTTTAATGTTCATAGTTTTGATCTTATTTTTCTTACAGAGTTCCTTTTGATATTTCATATAATAATGACTTGGTGATGATGAACTGCTTTAGTTTTACCTTGTCTGGGAAGCTTTTATCTGCCCTTCAATTCTAAATGATAGCTTTGCTGGAAAGAGTAATTGCAGATATAGGTCTTTGTTTTTCATTACTTTGAATACATCTTTTCATTCCCTTTTTGCTCACAAAGTTTCTTTTGAGAAATCAGCTGATGGTTTTATGGGAATTCCTTTGTAGGTAATTCTCTGTTTTTCTCTTGCTGGTTTTAAGATTATCTCTTTATCTATAAGCTTTGGCATTTTAATTATGATGTGTCTTGGTGTGATTCTTTTTGGGTCCAACTTGTTTGGAACTCTGTGATTCCTGGACTTGTATGTCTATTTCCTTCACCAAATTAGGAGAGTTTTCTTTCAGTATTTTTTCAGTAAGTTTTCAATTTCTTGCTTTTCCTCTTTTCCTTCCAGCACCTCTGTGATTTGGATGTTGTTACATTTGGAGATGCCCCAGTGGCTCCTTATTCTATCTTCATTTTTAAAATTATTTTGTCTTCTTGCTATTCTAATTCAATGTTTTGTTCTTCCTTAACATCCAAATTGTTGGTTTGATTCTCAGCTTCATCTCTCCACTGTTGGTTCTCTGTAGATTTTCTTTATTTCACTTAATGCAACCTTCATTTGTGGCTAGGCCTTTTTTATGCTGTTGCCATACCCAGTGAGTTCTCTGAGAATCCTGATCACACCAGTGTTTTGAACTCTGCATCTGATAGGTTGGTTATCTCCATTTCATGTAGTTCTTTTTCTGGAATTTTGTTCTCTTCTTTCATTTGGGCCATATTTATTTGTCTCCTCAATTTGGCAGCCTCCTGTGTTTGTTTCTGTGTATTAGATAGAGCTGTTTTGACTCCTCAACTTAGAAGCATACCTATTGTAGAAAAGTTACCTGTAAATTGTGTAATGTGGAGCCTTAGTTAACACCGTGGTATAGCAACCCTGTCACTGCTGTGTGGCTCTGTGTAGGACAGGGATCAGAGAGGGGACAATACTGCTGCCTGGTCTCTGGAGATTGACCTGGGAGGAAGCTGTCTCCCAGCACTCACTCTATTTCTAGTCACTCCGTTTTCTCTTCATATGCCACTTGTGCCCTTCCAGCTGTTTCTCTGGTGCTGAATCCCAGAGGGGTTGGGTCTGCATAAGTGCTAAGACATTCGCAGGGCTCTTTAAGGGGAGTTTCCCAAGAATCCTGCAGTTTCTTCTGCTGCCCCAAACTCCACTGGTTTTTATAGCCGGAAGTTATGGGGAATTATCCTCCTGGTGCTAGATCCCTGGGCTGGGTGGTGTGGTCTGGGTCTGGGATCACTTACTTCCAAGGTAGCCCTCCTGATGTTATCTACGGCATGTGATTGTGGCCCCCCCTGTTCCACTGCTGCTCCAAGTCTCTGTGCCTCTTCATGTCTTCACTTCTTTCCCTCTCTGGGTGCATGTGGCTTTTTAAAAGCATTGTCAGACTTCCATACAGCTCAATTTTCTGACAAATCTGGGTGATATTTGTTTTGTGGTCTAGTTGTAATTTTTGCTATAGTTGTGGGAGAGGAGAAGGGTGTTTACCGACATCTCCATCTTGACCAGAAGTCAAGATTTCTTTAAGAAGGCAAATGAATAAACAAATTCTGAAACATTCATACAGTGGACTGCTATTTAGCATTAAAAAATGAACAAGCTATTAATTAATGCAACATAAATGAATCTTAAATGCATTTTGTTAAGAGAAAGACACCATTCTTAAAAGGTTACATATTATATGATTCCATTTATATGACGGTCTCAAAATGACCAAGTTATAATAACAGAGAACAGATCAGGGGTTGCCAGTGGTTAGAGGGATAGGGAGCGTGTGATTATAAAAGGCATGAGGAAATTTTTGTGAGGATGGACCTATGGTGTGTATTCTGATTGTGCTGGCAGGTGCATGCCCCTGGATACAGGCTAAAACTCAGCTGAAGAAGGGCATTTTTAATGTTTGTATATAAACCAAAAAATGGGGGTAGGGGCAAATTTGATCTATGTTAATTAAAAAAATTAAATTTAGATGAGAAGAGAAAAAAGAGAAAAGGGAAGACTATGATAAAAGAGAGTTAGGAGAAAATAGAAAAATATGTAGTTTGTGGACTTTGGATTCTGAATTAAACTGACCACAAAAGACATTTGACATAACCAAGACAATTATAATGCTAATTGGGAACTATATATTAGATTTAAGTTTTCAAAGGATGATACTGAGCTTCTAGTTATGTAGAAAGAATCTTAATCAGTTAGAAATGTATTCTGAAATGTGTGTGTGTGTGTGTGTGTGTGTGTGTGTGTGTGTAAGAGAGAGAGAGAGAGAAATAAGACTAAGTCTGGGATTTGCTTTAAAGCAATTAAGAAAAAAGGTGGGGGAGATAACATTAGAAATGTTGAAGCTAGGGTTCACTTTGCTATCTTTCTACTTTTAAGTATGTTTGATATTTTCTGTAATTTGTTTCTTAAAAATGGAATATTAGATTTCTAAAAGAGTAGAACTTTTTTTCAACATGTGTTATAAAGCAGTAGACGTGATAGGTGTGAGTTTGGTTTCCACTGCACTGTCAAGTCTTTCCAATGACTCAAAATAAATAAATGCTGTGTGTGCCAAAAATAATACTGACATATGAAAAAACCCAGTCTCCTAGAAATCTTATACCTTGAGCAATAAACTACTAAAATTACTAGATTAGTAAAGATTTGCAGTTAGATTTTACAATAGCAAATCAAAACACCTTCTTCTTCATAATGTCATTTCAATGACACTATCAGAGAAATAAAGGGTAAAAATAATTTTAAAGCAATAATTACAATTCTAAAAATCTCAGCCAACAAATAAAATTACTTGGGCTTTCTGATTCTCATTAATTACTTACACAGTGTAGTTTTCTTGCTGTTTTGGCTCAGACTGTTCTTCTGAGCATTTTTATTTATTGTTTCTTGAGCACTTAGCACTGTGTGAGATACAGATGAAAAATTCCCTTTCTGGAGGACAATAATCAAAGTCATACAAGCAAAACACAATGGTTAGCTATTTAAGAAATGAAAACCAAACAAAAGGTTAAGAAACACATTCTGAACTCCCTGTTTTGCTTTCCTTCTTTTGGGGGTGCAAAACAAGATTAGTTTGCAAGATAAACAACCCATTTAGAAGAGATGGAAATCATCCCAGATATCATTCCAAGGAAATGTCCTACCTTAGCTATCCTTTCAGCTTCTGATATATAAAAAGTACTAGAACCTAGTGCTAGCTCTAGTGGACTGTAGTAGTTTTGTGCATGTGCATGTGAGTGAGTATGCTTTAGGCCTGCCCAGCAGACTCTGCTGTTCCCTTCCTTTTGATAATATCACTCTGTTTCAGGAACTGCTTCCTCTAGTCTCTGTGTATCTGGTGGGACTGTCAATCACAGTGTTACTTTTTTCTACTTCATAATGACATTGGGGTGAAGGATGTGGGCCTGGAGCAGCCCAAGGTCATTTTTACAGGCCCTGTAATGGAACTTCTCTGCAATGTCCATTAGGCCAATTTGCAAACAGAAGTAAAAATAGGTGTGTATGATGTAAGTGTTCAAGTTTTTCCTTGGGATGGTACGAATTGGGTTTCTTTTGCCATTTGCACCTGAATAAAATCTTAAGTTAAAGAAATGGCCCAAGGTCCAATGGCTCTTAAAGGATAAAGTTATTCAAACCCAGGTAGGTCTACCTCTATATAGCAGGCTTTTTCTTCTATGCTAATTTACTTTGCATCCTAAAGATGTTATATTTCTAAAATGTAGTTGCCTTTAAGATTGGGAAAGGAAGGGAAAGGGGCTGAAAAGAGACGGTTGGTCTGCCTAATCCTATATGTGTTCTGGTAGTATGAGGGAGGTGAACGCTGCGAATATAGTAATATCTAGTATCATTCCAACTCATGTTGCATGGTATTTGATGCGTATGAGTAAGAATTCAATCTGGCAGTCATACAGACTTCTACCCAAGAGCAAATCAAAGGCCTATAATTCTAGGAATGGTATCAAAGGATATTCTCTTCCTTCTGCTCTACCCGGTTTGTAATGATTGCATCAAAAAATAATGTTTAATACCAACAATACCAAATAAAATACTTAGGTTTTCTGAGTTGAAAAAGAATAGACATTTTTTCCCATGAAAAACTACTTTATTCCCTGTTTCACCAGTATATTCAAAGAAAACCAAGTATTAAAATGAAATTAGCAATTTACAAATTAAATTACTGGCTTATTTTTTTTATAAGAATTACTTTTAAGTCTGAAAACAAATGTCATTTCCTCACTTTCCTATTTTAAATGTTTATTCTCTTTTATTGTATTTATAATTTGAAATTATCTGGTTATTGACTTACTTCTTATATTATTTATTAATTAATTCACTGAAATAGACTGTTCCAAAGTGAAAGTCACTGTTTTGATACTGATAAAATAAACCAAAATCTTAAAGATAAAGGATGATGGGTTATTTTGTGTTCTCCTGTAAAACTGGGTATCAGTCGGTGAGAGAGAGAACAAACGACCTTCTCCAGTGGGGTCAGGCAAAGGCTTAGCTGACTGCTGGGCAGGCTTCCTCATTCAGCTAGAGGAGCTCTTCATTTAGCACCATTTTATAGGGACTCTCTCTCTGTATAAGCTTTAGTCTGAATAAAAGGTTCCGTTACTTAAAAACAGAGGCTTAGGGTAGTGTGGGAGAATTCCACTGTTCTGGGAAATTTAGAGCAAAAAATAGCTGAAATTATTTTGATTCTTAATTAGATTTCTTCCCTTCAAAGTCAATATGCTGTAAGTACTATTAATATTTTTGAAATTTTAATGTTTCCATTATTAATATTAATAACAAAATTCTTTCTGCCTCAATTTTAAAGATGTAAGCCAGTGCACATTTTTTGAATTTTAGAGAAAATGAAACACTAATGCTTCTAGAATTAGAAAATCTTTGCCTTTTAGCTATATAAAAAATTAAAAGTTCAACTTTAGTTTTAGAATTTTAGAATCTTTGGAAAGATTTCTTCACCCATTGTGTTCATCTTATATTTGCATTTGATTTTTTTCTATAAGACAGCATATGAAAACATGTTTAGTGTTTCCTCTCTGTCCAGGTTGCATTTTATCTTGAGTAGATGTAAAACCAGATTAGTTGTAATAGGATTCCAGGATGCGGGCAGATGGCTATTTGTCTCGGACGATGTCTCTTGCAATCAGCTCCTTCATTATTTCATTGGTACCACCATAGATTGGCTGAACTCGGGCATCCACGTAAGCTCTGGATAATTCAGAAAATGATTGAAGAATAAATAAAAGATATTAGAAGTTATAAATTTGGAGTCAGCACAAAACTGTTAATGACTTTAAGGTAGTCACTTAATAAAATCCAACCAATAAAAGCTTTTTATAATTACTTTTTTCCAGTATGGCATTTATCCTCAATTAGTATAATTATACAATTCTATTAAGAGAGCGATCATTTGTATACTTCGTTTTAACTTGCTTAAAGATATTATAAATTCCAAATAACATCTGTAGATTTGTTTTAATTTTGTAAAATTCAGCAATATAACAGCACTCTTAAAAAAAGGCCACTTTATGTTTAGATATGGGTACAATCTTTTAATTTCTTGTTATCTTTTATGATTCCTAAAAATGTTGAAATCCACTGGCTTCGTAGAAAACAAAAGAGAAAAGAAAGTACATATTTTCTAACATCCCTTTGGATTCCTGCCACTGCTGCCATCAGTGGTATAAATAGATGGTTTAGAAAATATTACTTTCCACAAAGTTAACAAGTAACTTATTTTTGGAAATGGTTAATAGTCACTCCAGTAATGTATGAGGTTACAATACTGAGGGCTGAGTCCACTAGCTACCCCCCCAAAAAAAGTTATAAAACTTTACTTTGGCAGCTATGGTACTAACAAGGACACTATTCTTACATTTTCTCATCTCACTTTATCCTGCCAGCTCTGGGATCAGGAAGGAGAAAAATTATATTGTTTTGCAGGTAAAGGAACTGAAGTACAGAGAAGTTAATACGTTTACTAATTAATGGTTGCTATTTGATGGTCAAATAGGAAATTGGCAGACTGGAATGAGAAGGCAGGTGACCTGCTACCTTGGCAGATATCTCTTGTGTTGTCTCATAATATTTTCATGGACAGGGCAGGTAGGACTTTCCTAGTAGACACATTCAAAGGCATTTCTTTCTCAAGCATAAAACCTGTTTTTTTATTGAATTTTTGAGACAAATGAAATGTGCCAGCTCTCTAAGAACATGATTAGTTCTGGACTTCTCCTTTGTCATATTCATCATGAGACCTTGGAGAGAGTAAGCACTCAGCCAGTATTTACTGATTTGATTTATTGTACTACAAAGGTATTTCAGTGTCTCGATGCCAACTTTCAGAAAATACTTGAAGTCTAGGGACATTTGTGTTTTCAAATATATATATATTTATTTATTTATTTTGAACAGATCCCGTTGCTGCCCACAAAACCCAGCCCCTGCGTTTGGAGACCCTCCCTAGCATTTCAGTCTACTTCAGCAATCTGAATGCTTCTAGACATTTTTTGTTTGGGTTGGGCATTTTTTTCCACATGACAGAAGTTCCAATGGAATTGGTAATGACAGAAATCAGTAGACCTTTTATGGGTTACTAATTAAATTCAGCCATCAACTAAAATTAACAGAGAAGGGCAGCAGAATAAATGTTTAACCACAATGACGAAGCCCTGTCTCAGGCCTCTCTTCCTAGCCATGGCAGGGAAGTCTCCAGACAGTCTTCTGGGAGAAGGCCGTCTCACTCCTCCCAGATCCCAAGCTTTGGGAGCAAGACTGAAGGGAACTCAAGCTAAAGAGCAGTTACTGAAGAACAAATAACACGTAAATAAAATGAAACAAAACAAAAAAGTATCTCTTTTATCTGCGAAACCAGAACTCAACCACATACACACACACACACACACACACACACACACTCACAGAAATAGTATAGCTTAATCTGAGGATATGACAAACACAAATAGAAAGGTTTTTTCTATTGAAATCATAGTCTGTATACATCCACCTACTGCCTGATGTGTCTTAATTAGCTTTTTTGATATTACCTATTACTTTCTTTCTTGTCATTTTATAAAATAAGTCCTCCCCTATGTCTTTGGGTAGAAAAATAGTAGTCTAGTTGAAAAGTTCATACAGTCTTTGAACTAACAAGCTGGCCCAGAAGGGGCTGATTTTACCTGAAAGGAAATGTAAGTCTCTTAGACTAAAACTGGGGATCCCAAATACTGAGCCATCTCGTTACAGTCTGTGCTTGCTACGGACCTGAAGGGATAGCCTCCTGGGCCATGGGCATGGTCGACTCCTCCTTACCCGACCCACATTTCTTAGAACCTGAACTAAAACCAGACAGACACTGAGCCTTGTCTGCTTCCCTAGTGCCGCTGTGACTGCACAGTTGAGTAGAAAAATATAAACACCCATTATTATGTCTCTTTTCTCCCATACTGAATATTGTGAATCAATTATTGTGAGTAAAACATGAAATGCACAGGAAATATTTCAGTGATGATTTAATTTGTGCTGGCAGAATTCAATGTTTACTTTTGATTTCATGACTATGCAAGATAAAAAAATAAATCTGCTTTGGATTAAGGTCTGTTTGAAGTAGTTCTAAAAGGATATACCAAAATCCAAATCCAAGTTTTGATTAAAAAAAAAAAGAAAAGAAATTATCTAGCTACTTCATGTTCACATTCCCAAGAAAAGAAAAAGTCTACTTACTGCTAAGTTTTTATAAAAGGTTATAAATTATATATATCCTGTGCTCGAAGCTTTATGAGCTGCCCAGTGGCTATAGAAAACTAGTAAATTATATCTATGGTGAAGCCTCTGTTCTTAATGTAACATTAATAAAATGTTTACTTTCCTCATTAAGGACTATAAGTGTATCAGATGTTCCAATTATGCTTGCCAAAATGATACATTTGAAAGTTAATTTGAGCACTAGTTTAATAATTTTCCCTTTGGGTATCTGTATTTAGATTAAAATTAGAAAAGTTTTTTAGCTTTCTCATCATCCTCCGATTCAGAACTAAATTGCATTTCTCTTAATATAGCAAAAAACTGTCGGGAAAATTTTATAAATTGAAAATATTGCTAAATAAAAGAAAAATACAGTTTTTAGAGTGATGAAGAGAATTGCCATGGGGAGATTCCTGAAGCAATTTCATGGACAGATAAATGGATAAAGAAAATGTAGCACCTACATACAATGGGGTACTCCTCAACCTTAAATCAGAAGGATTTAAATCAGAAGGAAACTCAGCAGTATGTGGCAATCTGGAAGGACCTTGGAGACATTCTGCTAAGGGAAATAAGCCAGTCACAGAAAGACAAATATTACATTGATTCCACCTACATGAGTTATCTAAAACAGTAAAACTCATAGAATCAAAGAGGGATGGTAGTTGCCAGAGGCAAAGGGGAGGGAGGAAGATGGAGTGTTACTAATCAATGGGCTTAAGATTTCAGTTAAGCCAGGTGAATAAACTCTAGAGATCCATACTACAACATTGTACCTCTGGTTTATAACACTGTGTAGTACAAGTGAAATTTGTGAAGAAGGGAGATCTTATGGTGAGTGTTCTTACCAAGATAAAATAAAATTAAAAAAAAGAAAAGAATTAACAGTCACTCCAATCAAAGGAAGAATGATAACCTACTTTTCCCCCTATTATAGTAACACTGAATTTAAATGGCAATAACATTCACAGCTTAGGAGGCTAAGTCACCAGACTTGGTTCATTGTGAGTTGCTAGCAACTAGAGGAAATAATCTGGAAACTATAAAAATTTAAAATAGGCATACTTTTTGAACTAGCAATACTACTTCTGAGACCCTTCTGTTGCAACCACAAACACATGTACTTAAGATAAATGTAAAATGGTGTCTCTTGTAGCATTGCCAGGGTAAAAAACTAGAAAGACCCTGAATGATTATGGATAATCGATAAAATAAAACATTATCCAACTATTTCAAAAATGGCATTAGTCCTTCTATGTAACAATTCAAATAAAGCCATGCATCAAGCTTTAGTATATGGGTCTCTTCCCTTTCTTTGAAAATGATAAAGTCCTAGGAGGGAGCCAAAAACATAATGCTGTTTCCATCTGCTTGAAGATACTCTGTAGTCAGTTGAAAAAATTTGCATCTTCTTTCCTTTAGTGTATAAAGCACAGTAATGTTCCACTTTTCACATCATCCAGAGGGGTGTAACAGAACAGCCACACTCACCTTGCAATTGGGTACTCCCACATGTACCCCCAACCTCCATGGAGCTGTACGCAGTCATAAGCTACACTGTTTTGTAATTCAGAAGCCCTAGGTGAACAAAACATAAAGAGGAAAAGGAATATTTGAAATACATTTGTATGAGGTGCTTCACAATCAGGAAACAAATGATTTGTCAAAGGCATACATTTATCAAACAATTAAAATCAGGTATATTGCCCTGGCTGGTGTGACTGAATTGGTTAGGCATTGTCCTGCAAACTGAGAGATCACTGGTTTGATTCCCTGTCAGGGCATATGCCTAGGTTGCAGGTTTGGTCCCAGTTTGGGGCATGTACAGAAAGTGACAGTCAATGTTTCTTATTTACAACGATGATTTCTCCCCCTCTCTTTTCCCCTCCCTTCCCTCTGAAAAGAATAAATAAAAAATAGGCATATTAGCCAAGCAGAGATGTAATTGTAATTGTGTATAAATCATGTATGAAATAAATCTCAGGACAATTTTCACATAATGAATACTTTTTTCATTAATTATACTTCTGGCTGGGTTTTTGTTAAGCCTGGAAACCAAGTGTGGAAGGCCCAGACTGTTAGGTTTTTGCTACTTTATCCCTGAAAAGGACACAGTGAAAATGTGAATTTGGTCTAGTTTATTTAGATTCTCTAGATGACCTAAGTTAACAGTATACAGCCATTATTTCCTTTTACTTTGGAATGCCTTTTTTTTCCTCCAAAGATGTCACTTCCTACCTGAAGGCTGCAAGTCTGAATTCAGTGAAAAAAAATTCTTAGGGTTTTCAGAAATAAACTGAAAGTAAAAGTGAAAACTTAAGGGGGCACACCACTATTAAAAGTAGTAAGACCATAGGACACTTATTAAAGATTGCTTGGAAATTAACATCCTTGAAGTACATCCTAGTATAATAATATGAAACACTTGAGAAATATGCTTTTTGATCTTATCACAAAAACTTCAACTATCATTAAAATGTATAAGCTAATTGGGAGGAATTTTATTTATCTTAACATAAAAAATAAGTCAGTTCAAGATTATTTTCAACTTACTTTTCAAAAGCAGAAAACAAAGAAAGGTTTTCTATTTAATGGAAATTTTCCTATTAAAAATAATTTTTAACTCAACCCCCAAAATAAAATAATAATATGCTGTAATAATTAACAGACCAGGCTCAAGGGCAACAACATTTGGAATTCTATAAATTTTTGTATTTGGCAAATATTAATATTTTAGTGAAATATTTACTGGGCTATATAACTCGTTGCTTTATCCTCTTCAATGTAAAGTACCAGTATGTCTATAAACCTGGGGTTTTCGAGAATAGCAAAGTCCATAAGTATCTAAATACGTTTTTTTCCAAAAATATCTTATTTGAAATCAGTTTTATACTTTTTAAACCCATCAAAGAACTTGCTACAAATGTAAATATAAACTATCACTCCTCCAAAAAATGTCGGCCCCCCCAAAGGTTCAAGTTTCTAGCAATTCTACATCAATTTCAACCTGGCTAATTTATTATTTTGGAATCATTATATAAAGTGCTATTCCACAGATTTTCCCATTCTCCTTCTGATTAAATGGAACATGAGTTAATGAATAATGACAGGAATTTTTGCTAGGTTATTTTTGGGCTAATGAGATGTGAGAATGTTTGCTTTTAGAACAGAGAACACTAAACCCACATCCAGAATCTGATTTAAACTGTTTGAGCATCTTAAAATACACAGTAGCCTTTGGGGGGGGTCCCATTTAAAAAAAATCAACTTACCTTTAATGCCATGGCTACTCATCTTTAATACAAATGTAAGTCTTTCTGAAGTTAATAGGACATAGTTTTCCTCTCACTTAATAGAGCAGGTGCCACTTCTGATTAGACAGTCAACGCTTCAGAAAGTTTTTTTCAAAAAACACCTTCAATAGGAAAATCCTGTCCTAGCTACTGACTTCACAAATAACAAAATGTTTTCTCAGAGAGAATTAAATTTAATTTTAATTATTCAATGAAAGAATAGGGACTACTTCAGGACTCTTAAGTTTTGCTGAAAGTGTTTGGTCTCATTATAAGTGTCACTCTGCAGATAATTTGAAATTAAACTTAATTGAACGAACTACTCAGTCATCCTACTTGAGTCTCTTACTGTTTTATTTTCAATGGCACACTAAACGTTAAATACCAACTTGAGTGATTTTTCGCACATTATAAATAGGCCTAATGGGGCCTTTCAGCATTGTTTTACAAAGTTGGTTGGCACCGCGAGTTTCATCGACACAGCTTTCTCCCTTTAAGACCCCCAAGGCCGAGTTTAAAGTTGGACGACTTCCCTAACAGTCTGTGCAAACACCGCATTTTAATCGCCGCGGCACACATACCAGTATTTCGCCATGGAAGCAGTGGTAGAGTCCAGCCGTTTCTCTGCGTGCAACTGGAGACAGCTGTCCAAAAAAGCCCTGGTTACGCAGATGTGTGTTTTTAATTCTGCTAGCTTATGCTGCACCGTCTGGGGTGTAGAGGAAATGAAAGATAAAAATGAACGTGGCAGAAAAGCATGTTTCGAGTCACCTCGCATATCAAAAATTATATAAGAAAAGATTCTTCGAGCAAACCAAAAGTGGAGTTCCTAGGTTTTTTTTTTCCTCTCCTGAAAGCAGGCCTATGCTAATGAAAGAGCTTAAATTTAAACCCACAGCATATCATTGCTAAGGAAACTTGTAATAAAAGAAAAGATGCACAAATAAATGCATAAATATGTTTTAGACGAAACAATGCAGACCATTTAGGGCCGGTCCTGAAAGACACCATGACTGATGAGAGAGCACCATCTTGTGGTGCAGCCCTTTAGGTGCAACCGTGGAAAAGTGACTTTCCTCCGCAATGGAAATCCATGAAGTTTTCTCTATTAATGAAATTAAGTAATCACACTTCTCAATTCTGCTGCTTTATCTTGGCATAAAGTAACAAAGTAACAAGCCTGAGCGACAGCATAAAAATATGTTATGTTTGTTATGTTGCACGGTATTTAATCTAGGTCTGTAGAGTGCAGAAGAGGAACAGAATCGAGATCTCAATGGATCAGAGTCCACACCCCCAACCTCTGCTGCCTCTCCCCATCCATCTTCTTATTCCTCTTAATGGCTTGTCTGGCAGTGTCTAACTTGAACCAAATGGTGAGCAATTATCAATGCTAATCTACCTACACACCTCCTCCTACTGGCTATAGACGACCAAGAGTACTCTTTCTATCCTGATCATCCTCAGTCGTTCTCCACTGCTCTTGCTTCCATCAAATTTTCCTGCATTCCTGACTCTTGGCTCTCACGACTTGAACTTTAAGGATACATGTGGTCTCCTTAGCACCAACTCTTGAACTGCCTTCAGAAACTGGATTTTATTTGAAGTGCTGGCTTTCTACTTTGGGTAATCTCCAAAAATATATCACATTAGTTGACCTGATAGATTCAAGGCCCAGTTATATAGTCAGCTGGCTCTACATTCCTCATGGAAATTTAGGTAGAAATAGTCTTGGTCATTGTGCTGTGGAATATTTGAGTGAGACCTTCACTGTAGCTAATACAAGGAATGGAAGTTAGTGACAAAGGTGACTCAGTGAAACTTAAACTAGAAATTAAATGCATGCCTCCTATACACTGGCAAGTCCAAAGCCATGACTTGGACTGAGTTCTCAAAGGAAGGTTTTGGGGACCAGATTCTCAGAGGATGCTGGCCTGTCTTTACTACTGGTTACATTAGTTCTCAAACCACAAAACTGAATCTTTTGGCATCATTGTGGTGGGGAAAGTTTGGGTACTTCCATTTCTGGAAAAGAGTAGAAAAGGAGTATAAGAAGACCCAGGAGCAGTCAAGACCAGGGTGTATCAGGTGGAGCAGGTGCTCTGATGGACAGATTCCTCATAAATGTTCCAACATCACTGCTGTGCTAATGAAAAACCCAACTGACAGCCTTTCCCTTGGCTTAGTATCCTGTTCTAGAAACAGGTGAGGTGCTGGCATCTAGTGATTCCAAAACTAAGCAGTGGGAAGGCTGATGCCATGCTTTTCCCACTGATACATCTTGGACTCTAAATTAGAATGTGCTGAGTTACATCAGAAGCTGCTTCTCTTCTTGGTCTTTCTCTCACTTTTTCTGTTTTCCATTCTATTCATTTAATTAGGCCAAATCTCTACCCAGTAATCAGCACAAAGTTTCCCACTCCCTCCCCACATATTCAGGTTTACTCATAGAAAATGTAAAGATGGAATAAGAAATGGAAAAAAAGTGGGGAAATATTCTTCTATACATGCACCACAGATGAATATACGTTCCAAAAAAGTCCCTGAAACTCAGTTCTGAGTCTACTTCTGGTTTAGCTCAAGGCCCCCTCATTTGGAAAAAAAGAGGGAAACTGACAAGTCTCAAGAAACTTTTGACCCAGCCTCACCCCTGTGGATGGCACATTTGTGAATTCTGTCTAGGGGAGAAGCACGATCTCTAAGTCCAACTCTCTCACATGAGAACTCTTCCAGTGGGAATGCTAGCATTCTGGAGGCTGAAGCTAAATTTCAGACCAGGAGGGGCCCATTTAGAATTCTTGTGTCAGCACATTTGGCGAGGTCCGGAGGTCTGAAGGAACTGATGTCTTTAAGAGCACATACTTTAACTCCTTGGGGATAAAGAGATGAACTAGTTACATGTTACTGGCATGGAGTTGGGCATGACTACGCAGACTTGATCTTTGCTCTTCACTGCAGACACTATGTCTTAACCTTCAGAAATGATTCTCTAATGAATGGCAGCTCCTAATTGTACCACACATTATTAGCAAGATGCTTTCATGAATGATCAACATGCTTATAGCAGTATATTTTAACATTCATTAACAGTCACCAGACCACACTGCAGCTAGCATTAAAAAAAATTTCACTTGTTCCCAAGTAGGCCAGATAACCAGAGGGAGTCTTTCTCGGAGTTCTGAAGGACAAAATACTCCGCAGAGACTTTTGCACAGTTTTCTCACAACAGTGCAACTGGAAGACCCCTCAGAAAGTAATCCAAAAAAAAAAAAAAGAAAGAAAGTAATCCAGCCTAGCATTCCACTTATACAATGCCATTTGTTTCACCCCCATATATTTCACCTGAAATATAAAATATCATCTTGGGTTCACGATCTAATTTTATAGTTAATTAATCTTAAACTCAAGGCCTTAAGAATTGGATATTCCTTTTTTTTTTTTTGAGGAATGTAAGAAGTGTTATTTTTTTCTTCTATTCCTTTTTCTAATACTTTGTGTCCTAATAATTAAAAGCACATACTACCCAGGAAATAACTAAAGTTTGCATTAGAGAAGAACACCAAATTTTCACTTCATTGAACATGGGTGAATGTGGGTGAAGGGAAGGAAAAAGAAAAATATCTATCTACCTTAAATTTCTGGGTAAGAAAACTAGCTTCTGAGTTAAGAGTGTAGGTTCTGGAATTAGAATATCGATATAACCTTGGGCAAGTTACTTAATCTCTCTATCTTTCAATCTCCTTTTCTGTAAAATAAGGATAAATATAATAGTTGTTACACAGAGTTGCTGTGAAAAAATGAGACAATCCATTTAGCAGTGTCTGGTACATAGGCACAATGTAAAATAATGATAAATGACAGTATTATCACTGTTTAATATCTGAATTTTACAGTTTTATTGTCTATTTAATAGAAAATTTGACCTAACATCAATTATAGAAAGTATAAATGAAAATGGAAGACTTATAACTACTTAAGTATGGTAGGTCTCCATCTTAAAAAGAAAGTAAATTTTTGTGAAACACATCTGGAGGGTTAGAGAGGACCACCATGTTTAAAATTCAAGGATAAAAAAGAGAAAGAAAACTTCATTGTTATAGGTTCATAAAATGATATTTAGCTAAGTATAACATGGCATTTAAAAGTCTTCTATTTCAACGCAATGACTAGAACTATAGTGCGCCCAGCTCTAGAATAGGGTGTGTAGACATGTGCTGGTCATTCTTCTATGAATACGTTAAATTCCTAGATTGAATATTAAAATATTATTCAAAGGTACTTATCTAGCTAAATCAGAAAGACTAGAAGAAATCTCTCAGAAATCTCAAAACATGCATGTACATGGAAACTGATACTACGCATGTCAATTAACATGCCGGTGGAAGCAGAATGCTACTGTCACCTAGTGAAATTTTAGTGAAGCTACCTAGTGAAACTACTTCTGAAGGAAGGCAACCAAAATTGGCACCTGCTTTGCAAGGGATTGAAACTATTCTCTTTTTGTTATCACATACACACAAATATTTCCCTCACATTTAATGTCTAGGAAACATCAAACCACATTTAACATGCTGAGCTACACAATCTGGGGAATATTACAGTCATCTTTGTTGTGATTTAATATGACTTCCATAAGCACAGGAATTGTATATTTCCAAGGGGGAAAAATACGTCTTTTTGGTTCATGTTGTACATTATTCAAAACAGGTCTAAATGCACGAGCATTTTAGTAAATATTTTTGATGTGAAAGTGCTGGCAGCTGGACTTCAGAAACAAGTAATACTAATTCCACTTCGGGTAAGGCTGGGAAAGTCACAGGGTGCTACCCAGTGGCATCCCTCTCTTTGTATTGCCTGAAGCCTCCCAGAGTCATACGTATAAAATTCCCTCTGACACACAAAATTTAGAAGGCAATCAATGCCTATTTGCTCTGTGAAACAAAAAGGAATAAATCATGTATGTGAGTAGACTACTGGCATCTTGACTGAGACAATTAGTTGTCATACAAAGCATCTCTGAATTACAGAACATTTAACAACACTGGTCTCTAGGGCTCTTCACCACCTTCCCTGACCTTTGTCAGTGCCTGGGGGAGGAGGTCAGTGATTGAGAATCACTGATATGTGTAGCTCAGCAATACATAAATGCAAAGGAATGTAAAGTATAATATCTAGGGAGGTCAAATCATATGGTTTTTTAAAAATGTTTTCCTGGCTATGTATGTGCCTCCTTTTATAGATTCAGAACAACTGTATGTAGATCTGTTATGTCAATTAGAAAGTTAGGATGTAAAGAAGTCTTTTCAGAATGGGAAAAGTTAACTTGATGAATGCATAGGTAGCAAATGGGTCCCAAAATGACATGGAGCTGGTCCAGACCAGGAGCAAGAAGTTGATAAAAAAAAAAAGCTCCCTTTATTGGAACAAAGTAGATGACGACATTACTTAAGAGGGTGGAGAAGCTAATTTAATGGATGCTTACTTTGCTGGACAATATTCTGAGCACTTATGTGTATTACATTATCTAACCCTCACAGGAGCTTCCTGAGGTGACATTATTTATACCTGACACATAAGAGAATATTTCTGAGAGGGATACTACAACTTCTGTAGACCACTGGTATGCAAGAAGCTGTGCTAGAAGTTAAACCACAACTGAGCTTAATTTCTACAATGCTGGTTCTAAAAAGCTACCAAAGTGTTTTATCTCCCCTTTCCCCTTCACAAAGTGTTCAGCCAAATCATTCTACTTCAAACTTTTCGAGTTGATTTTCAAATTCAGGTTTTGTTTTGTTTTTGTGTTTTGCTGTTGAAATGTTTCACCAATTTGATGGCCGCCTTGTTTATAAACTGCTCCTTCATTTAAGGTGACACTACATGGTCTAAAATTTGATTGGCATATTCAGTGATTATGGACATCGTATGCTGAGTTCTTCTGAAAACACCTTACGCTTGCCGGCCAAACCAAGGTTAATGAAACACCATCATCCACTTTCTCTGTGCCTGAACCTAGGCAGTTAAATCCTTTTCGGAAAACTGTTACACAAAAAAGTAGAAGGTACCCCTACACATTCATGATCCATAATTTCATCTGGGTCCTCCATACTGCTAGCAGGCTTACCATTTTTCTCTAGTTAGTTCAGCCTCTCACTCTGAAGAGGGGATTTCAACCCTCCAATTACCATTCACAGCCAACTCAGGAAAGAGCTGCTTCCCATAAGTATACTTTTGCTTTCTCATTTCCACTTTTCCTCTACTTGCTCTCTCTGGCACTGTCCCGACACCAGTCCACTGCTGACTCTTACAAAAACCCCTCTGCATCATCACGTCCAGTGGCCACTCTGACCTCCCTCTTATTTTCCCTCCAAGCAGCTTTAGCCCCACTTTCTCCTACTTAAAACTCTCTTTTCCTTTGGCTTCTGTGACACTCAACTGATTTGCTTTCTCTTTTTTAGGTGTTCATTCTCAGTTGCCTCTGTAGACTCTTCCTTTCCAATTCCACCTTTAAATTCTGTCTTTTTTTTCCCCCTCTCAGGATTCTGTCCTATGATCTCTTCTTGTCTTACTGTCTATACCCTCTTCCTTGGTGATCTCATCCAATTCTGTGGACTCCAATACCACCTCAATGAGATTTCCTCCATATTTATGTTTTGGAGTAAATCTAGATCAATTTCAGAAGGGTCATTGATGTTGTGTAATACTCAACCATGACAGCAAGCTTACCTGTATATGTGCAACTGTTTTTCCAAAAGCTTTCCTCTGTTTCACGTACTCCCTGGTTTCTTCAAACATAAATTCACTGGCTGAAACTGCTATTTCGGCAATCAAAAGCCTTTCCTATAACCCAAAAATTAAGTCTTGAGCATTATTTTAATTACGCACGTGGTTTTCACATGATTTCAATGATAATAAATCCCATAAATAATCCTTAGAAAACTCCAAGTAATTTGTTTCTTAACTGTTTATAAAAAAGGCTCCTACAGAGATTTCTAATATTTTGACATATCTGTAATAACCCCCTAAAGCAAATCCTTTATGTTTATAATTGATTGTCTTTACTATATATATGCAGCTATATGTGTGATTTATGAAATTCCCTCCTCTCTTGACTCATCTATGAGAAAAGAATTCTGAAGTCGTTGGTTTTGACTTACTGATCTTTGCACGTACCCTGCAATATCTGTGGAAAACAACATTTTAAAGTGCGTAGTTAAATTCTGCACATTAGTGTAAAAGTATTCACAGGTAGTTCAATTCCATCTTGCTGGTGATTTTGACACTCCGTTTCTTTTTTTAAAGATTTTATTTACTTGTTTTTAGAGAGAGGGGCATGGATGGAGAAAAACGGAGAGAACTCCCACAACATGCCCTCGAACGCCCACAACCTGGGACCTGTAGGTCCTGGCCCACAACCCAGGGATGCGCCCTGACCGTGAATTGAACTGGTGTCTGTTTGGTCTGTGGGACAATGCTCATATTCCATTTCTATGCCATTGTCCCTAGCCCTAGCTAGTGTTCCTAGTCCCCAACTTCATGTTTTAGCTCGTGCTACGGCAATTTCTAAGCAAGTGTGGCCTCTTATGCTGGCATGTCAGGCTTAATGATCACTTAGCAGCCACACCCCAAAAACACAGATGTGAGGGCTGACCCTATGTGGCTAAAACTACTTAGTTTGGACTTAACAGTTTTCCTCTTTGATTCCCAGGTACTATTATATTCTTAAACCTGCCAGATGTTTTGGCTGATATTTCCTTATAAAAACATAACAATTCTTGACTTGTGGTTCCGAAGCTAAAACTGTTACAAAAAGGAATCACAGAACTGAAATATCTATTTTCCCTACTTACAAGCATTGACTGAATATCCCCAAGTTCAGTTATGTACTTATCTAGGCTACAACTATTTTTTTACATTTAAATTATAGTCCAATGATTGGCTATATTACAAGTTTTATATGCATGGGTTTATATAGTTCTGTATTACTTTATTCAAGTCTATTATCTAACCAAAAGACAGAATCTTTAATACTTCTCACCTGTGGAAGCTCTTGCATGAGGTAATAGAAGCCCTTATTCTCTTCTCCCAGTAGGGCACTAGCCGGCAACCGTACGTCTTCAAAGAATAATTCTGCAGTATCCTGAGGAGACATACAATTAAGTACAGCATTACCTATTTAAATTTCACAAGAACCCAACGAGGAGAATATTTCCATTTAAGAACGCACTCCCACCCAAAAAAACACAACAACTGGGAGCCAAACTGGAGTGGTTAATGAACACAACCAGTAAGGGGTAAACCAGGAATTCAAATCCAGGTTCATCGGATTCTGGAACTTCTGCCTTACCCGCCACACTACACTGCTGTTCTAGCTCCAATACTGTCCAGATTTGTAGGCACTGAGAACTAAGCATTGCTAGTGAATATTAACTATTTTTTCGTTTTAGTAATTAAAAATTCACAAAGTAGTTACTGAATAATAGAAAAAGTACTTTTTTTATTTCATAATTTTCTTTAATCAAATTCAAAGAGGGCCAATTTCCATTTAATTTCTAAATCATTTCTAAAGCAGATATTTAAAACATCCCGATTCACTTGCACTGTCGACCATCAGAAAAAGATACAGTTGCACAAACAGTGGAATAAATATCCATGATCACTTCTGAAAAGCATTTTTTTTTAGGAATTTAGTATTGGAAGGTATGATTGTGCTTTCTGTCATTCTATTTATTATATAAGGCATAATTGAGTATATTCAATTATTTTTTTTGAAGATTTTATTTATTTATCTTTAGAAGGGAAGGGAAGGAGAGAGGGAGAGAAACATCAATGTTTGGTTGCCTTTTGTGTGTCCCCTGCTGGGAACTGGCCTGCAGGGTATCTGCCTGCAACCCAGGCATGTGCTCTGACTGGGAATCGAACCGCGATTGTCTGGTTCGCAGGCCCGTGCTCAATCCACTGAGCTACACCAGCCAGGGCTATTCAATTATTTATACACAAGAACTTATTCTTAAAAATTGAGTAAACTTAATTATTACCTGAATATGATTTATATTATGACTTACCTGGGCTTTTAGTCCCATTTTATGGAGCTTTCGTCCCTTGATAAATCCTTTCATTCCATTTTCTACCAGAAAAAGGCTAATGCCATGAGCAGGAGACCGAGCTTCACGATTTGTGACTGTGACCACGATCACAACGTCGCTTAGCCACCCATTAGTAATGAACACCTGGAAAACCCCAAGCACACTGTGATGCTCCACAGTAATCCAAGTCCATGTGCAAGTCAAGGCTGGGGGGAGGTACAGTCAAGAAGACTAAAGACAGTGCATGCTTTATAACTCTCTCTGTATTCCATCCAAGTAGCTGGACCACTAATTATTTTTACATAAGGTTATTAATATGTAAAAGGAAAATAACCCAAAGTTTCAAAGGATGAAGCTTATGCAGGCCTTACAGAAAATGAACGTCTTCTTTTTTAACACTCAGTCAACAACAAATATATTTACTGAGTATGTAGCAGACATGATTTTAGGTAAACCAAAGCCTCTGCTATCAGCGATGTGAGATTCTAAGGCATATATTTACTCTTAAACTTTCCAGTCTTATCAGTGGGTTGATGTGCTCTCAGAAGGCCTGAAGGGCTTTCAAATGCTATCAAAGATATCTTCCTCTCCGACGATCTTTGGAAATGCTTCGTGGTATTTATAGAGGAAGCATTTTCCCCAGTTGCTTACCAACATCAAATTTATTAACTATTGTTTGCTCCTTGTTTGGAGTGAGCCTTACCTTCTCCTTTTCTGGCTTGATGAAGATTGTTTGAAATCTAAACTAGTATCTTCTATATTAGTGAGGAGGCATGCAAATGGAACAGAGAAATGGAAGAGATCTTATATAACAGTTGCAAAATTCTAACTGTTGGCGAAACACAGCAACTCAACTCCTGTGTGAACTCAAGTAATCTCAGTCCCTGCGTGCGTCTCCCTAGGTATGGTGGAGCCACTACTCAGCAGCCTTCGAGTCACGGTTGCTATGGCAAGACTCTGGAGGAAAGGCTTTGGAAGCCCCTGCTCACACACCTTGCTGCCATTAAGAATCCAGTCACTTCCATCCTTTTTGGCATTTGTTCTTATTCCTTGCAAATCACTGGAATTGTAAAAAAAAAGGTTAAAAAATTCATTAATTAATAAAAATTGAATCAGGCCAGTGTTCTTAGGTAAGTGTAAATATGACATGATAATTTGAACTGTTTACACCATTGTAAAATTGACCTTTAATATTAGGAATTCTCACCGAAATGCACTAAAAATATCTAAGGTATTATATTCAAAATCGTTTATATAAATTAATATATGATTTAAGATTGCATAAACTAGTCAGATATTATAGAGCATAACAAGGCCCAACTAGCATTCGAGACCCTACATTGGACTCAGGTGAGTTTTCAAGGCCCATCTTATCCCTGAGACTGTTTTCCACACACTTGCCTGCCTCCGTTCGCCTTGGTTCCTTCCCCTTCCTCTGTTGATCAAAAGCTTGGCTATTTAAAGGGCTGTTTCAAATGTCACTTCCCCTAACAAGCTTCATCTCAAACTAGATTATTTTTTCTAAATATAAAATTAATATCTTTAATACTATAAACAAATATTCATAATTAAAATATAAAAATACAGACAATATTCTAGACAAAGGAGAAAATAATTTAGTAAATATTTTACATCCTGGAATGAACATTTAAAAAATACACTTTTTCAGTATTTCTCCATGGAAACAGATATACAAATACATGTATTTTGTACACATAAAAATGGAGCCATATGTGTGATTTTGACCTAATTATATCCAAAGGTTTTCTATAAATTTTAATAGCAGCATAGAATTTCATCCTATAGATTTATACTGATTTTTTTTTAAAACAACCTCCTATTGTTGAAGTAGCTTCCAGTTCAAAATATCCTATAATGACTAATGACCCCCAAGGATGGCAGGTCCTCATCCCTGGAAACTGCAAGTGCCACCTTATATAGAAAAAGGGTCTTGCAGTTGTGTTAACTTGAGACAGGGAGATTATTTTGGATTGTCTAATGGGCCCTAAATGCTATCACAAATGTTCTTACGAAAGAGAGGCAGGTGAGAGTACAAAGACAGAAGAGGAGGGGAGGTGTGACAACAGACGCAGACACTGGAGTGATGAGATCACAGGGCAATGGATGTCGTCAGCCACCAGGAGATGCAAGAGGCAAGAAGTGGGTTATCTTTACATACGAATCACACCATCTCTGCGTTTTATACAGGTTATTATGGTAGCCAAATCAACGTGGAAGCCTATGAAATGTTAAGGTATTATACAAATATGCGTCATTATACAAAATGGGGTCCCTTATGTCTGTGGAAGGGAAAAGACCCAGTGAAGCCTTGGATCTTTGCCAGCAAACTCAACATTTTTTCTGTGAAGGCCAAATCAAAGCAAGAAGACAGCGTGGCCAAGCCATCTCTGAAAGCAGGTGAAATGAACCATGTCTCATCTTCTTTATTCTTCCCCTCTCATATGTGTTTTCTTTAAAAAAAAAATATATATATATATTATTTGTGTTTAGAGAAAGAGAAAAGGAAGGAGAAAGAGAGGGAGAGAAACACTGATGTGTGAGAAACATCACAACAGTTGGTTGCCTCTTGCAAGCCCCTGACTTGGGGACCTGGCCTGAAATCCAGGCATGTGCGCTGACCAGGAATGAAACCGCCAACTCCTCGGCTTGCAGGCCAGCACTCAATCTACTGAGCCACACCAGCCAGGGCCACATGCCTTGTCTTTATTTCTCACTGTAATCCCTCTAAACCCCAATCATCTTCACATGTAGCTTTTCTCCATTTTTGCATTCTCTTAGCCACATAGCCCCTTTTCTTGATTCTAAATATTGAACTCCTTGGCTATCTTTCCATTACTCTCACCAAACTTCCCCCCAAATCTGCCTCTTTTCTCTTCATTCTTATTCTCTTTCCTTCACGATTGTATAACTGCAGATAAGGACAGAAAATTTAAGTGAACAAAAATCAAGCAAGCCTTTGTTTGCATGAGTTAAGTTAGGGATACATCAAGATCTTCCATTATCCTGTTGCCTCTAGCTCAGAACAACCATGCAGTCGGTTGGAACTGAAACAGTATGATGCATTAAAATACTGGGCTGTCAGCCAGTTATCTTAGACAATTATCTTAAAAGCAAAAAAAAAAAAAGATTAAATTCCTACCTTTTTTAGGTAACAGTTTTAGGCAAAAGAAGTAAGCAAAAACCCTTTTATTTTGGCAAAATTAAGTATCAATATTGGCCTGAAATGATAGGTTTCTACCTGGGAGGTATAAACATAATGGAAACATATTGCCAAGTGGCACTATGAAATATTAGAACATTTAAAAATAAATGGCAGTATTGAAAGAGAAAATCTAAAACATTAGGGCCTGATGTTTGCAGAAACAAGCCTTAGATTTTTAATCCTGCTTTGCCACATCTTTCACTTCTTCCTCTCCATTGCCTGTTTCCCATGGGTCTATACGTTGCTGTTTTCTTAGACACAAATCATTTCCCTTACCACTCTGGCTTGTCAAACTCCTGTTCCCTCTCTACTTCCTTTCACCAGCCAACTCCGAAGAAGACTAGTCTGGATCCTTTGCCTGTTTTCTCACTACCCACATCACTCCTTCCCAAGTTACTTCCTCTCTGCTGAAGTCACAATCAACACATTCCCCACAGACTGCCACGACATTTTCTCAACTCTCAACTTTTTTGTGGCCTTGACATTACTAACTTCTCACTCCAATCCTGTTGCCTTTTCAGACTCATTCCCACTTGTGCTCATGACAGAGATGTATAGATTTCCTTCAAACTCAACTCTTCTGTCTCTGCTGCCACATTTGGGGAGGCTGCAAGTTCAAGGGAAATATGATACCCAAGCTTTCCACCCTTTCACTTTACCCCTCGGAATCCAGTTCCACCCTGTGACATAGCCAGTCATTCTGGAATAACCAGTGATTTCTCATTCATCAGATCTCAGTGCAAATATAATCATTTTTCATAGGCTTTCTCTAGCACTCCTATCTCAATTCGTTTTTCCCTTCCCTACCAAACACATAGGCACCATTAATCTCTATGTGACATAGTCTCTTGTTTCTTCATAGAACTCATCACAATTTACACTTGTGACTATATCTGCTTATTTGTTTCTTCTCATTCTCCTTAATAAGCTCATAGGCTGCATCTGCTTTGTTCACCACTGTATACACGGCACATAGAAGGGTCTTACCAAGTAACTGTCAAATGACTGAAAAAAACTTCTTCATTTTTATGATTGGCTTTTAAAACCTGCGGCCATTCCCGCATGTCTCCAGAGTTTCAAGTCCGTATTTTAATAGCAGGCCAAACATTCCCTTGTGCATGTCACACTGCATCTAAATTTCATCCTGCCCAAAATGCAACACACATCCTATCATTTTATTTGCATTACCTTATGTAAATAATATCTCAAATACAGCAAGTATTACAACCTGCTTTATTGCTGTTTGTATATAAGGCCTTATTTTCCCATTGGAGTTTGAAGTTCTCTGAAGGTGTAAATGATGCTGTGTTCATATTTGTATTCCTCCTAGCATATTGCTCAGAGTTTTGTATAAAGCAAGTACTGAGACAAATATTTGCTGGCGGAGCTTTGCCTCCTAGTCTTCAAAACCAATTGCATGTTCATTTACCTTCCAGCCCCGGGCTCCGTCATTGCTATGGCGCCAATACATTTCCCTGCAGTCATCTGGGGGATGAAGTGCTCAATCTGTTCTTTTGAGCCATAGTTTGCAATGTAGGGCATGACAATGTCTGAGTGAAGACTAAAACCTGGGCCCGTGCAATTTGAATAGGCTCTTAGGGAAAAAAAAGAAGAGAAATTAAAGCACAAAATAGTCAGCTTGTTCTGTTTTTAGTTTCTCCAATTTTCAATGAAAAAAAACCCAACAATACAATATTAAAGGTCTTCGTGTTATAACAGCATGTATTTCCCCAAACCTACAAAGTTCCTGAAGGTTTTCTCTCTTAGTTTTTACTGCCCTTTTATTTTCTGGTTCTAACATAATAACAGTACTCTAATAAAGTTTGATGAACACTTAACAGTAAATTAACAGATAAAACATTTAAAAATGTTAATGAACTACAACTGTATCACCCTAACATAGCAACTAATTTCATTTTATCAAATTACCTTTACCATAACAATCTATTCTAATATAGCTGTAGTTGTGGCATGAATTTTGTACTTAGCTGTCTTCTTTTTAAATTATATGAGAAAATCCTATTTTTTTACCTAGTTGTCATAATAATAATCTGAAATACCTACACAAAATTACAAATTGCTTGTGTACTATAATTTGCCTTTTCATTCTCCCACTGCCAGACATTTAGACTACCTCCAAATTTGGGGTTTATGATCTAACATAATAATTATTTCTCTACATAGCTCCTATTTTTCTATCAAATTATTTCCTTAAGATAAATTCCCCGAAGCAGTATCCTAGATCAAAGAGCAGGAATATTTTCATTTTTATAAGCATCTATACTTTTAATCCCTGAAACATTTATTGTTCTACTGCATCATGCCACCAAGTGTTCAGGAGTATGTCATTTTCACTGCAACCTTGTCAGCACTGGGTGTTATAAATTTTTGTTTTCACTAACTTTTGTAGATAATCAAAGTGATATATCTCAGTTAATTTTATTTGTATTTGATTGATAGTAAGGATGGACTTTTTCATCTAAAAAACCTACTTGCATTTCTTTTTTTGCTGAATTGTTGTTTTAACTCTTTTGCCCATTTATCAACTAAAATCTTTATTTGTTCTTATATTTGAAACTTTTATTACATTTAATGAAAATATTTCCACTCTTCTATTATTTTTTGCATAACTTTTTAAAATAGAGAAAAATAACAAAATGAGTCAAGTAGAAATGAAGCTACCTGTTTAGACAACTTAAAAGGGGGTTTCGCTACCTTCCTACATTTAAAAAATGTGCAAGACTACATGGGTGATGTAAACCTTTACATTTTATACAGAATTCTCAGTGTCATAAAAAGATTAGAAAGCATTATTTACAATACTCTCAGAAAGGTGAGCAGTGTGCTTACAAACAAGCCTGGACTTCCAATACCCCGTACTTACTGCTCTTCCCAAACAAGAGCTGCGGAGTACAAGTCCCCACCGATGCCACCGTGTTGCTCTGCGATATTGACACCGAGCAGCCCTTGCTTCCCAGCTTTTTCCCACAGCTCCCTGCTCACTTCTCCAGCTTTCTCCCATCTGCAGATGACAACATTTTAAAGTCAGAAAAGCTTTTTTATATTATTTTTAAAATTTACAACTAAAATTCATGAATAATGTTGTGTGGAAGTACACTTGATTAGTAATTCAAGGTAAGTGCTGTTGACATCTTCCACGCCCTTCTATTTGCCTCTGACTCCTCCTATTTGCATCTGACTATTTTTTAAAAATATATTTTATTGATTATGCCATTACAGTTCTATTTCCCCCCTTCATTCCCCTCCACCCTGCACACCCTTCCCCCACCATTCCCCCTTTTAGTTTATGACCACGTGTTTCAAGTTCTTTAGTCAGTCTCATCTGACTATTTTATTATTTCTCCTTGTATTTGCCACAAGGCAAATGCTCTTTCTCACTTATTTTTGCCACATTTGCCCCCTGTTCTCCCTGTATATTATTTCCTGGACCTCTGAATTGCATCCCCTGACATTTGGGGGTTTGGCATCTCTCAGCTGATAATCTTAGGCAGCAAGCTTAGGTGTATCCATCCTATAGTCAGGGCATTTGCCCAACCTGTCCTGTAAAGACAACTGCCGTCTGAGTACTTCCTTACCCTGCTAAACTTACGGGATAAGCACGTACAAAGAAACTGACCAGAGCCGTCAGCATCGTTCTAGTCTAAGTAGGAACTACGAAGGCAGAAGCGCCTCGCCGTGTGGCTCTGTCACAGGAACTTCTGAAAGGACTTAGGTTTGGGTAGGATGGTGTGACTGCTGCTTTTCTTTAAAAATGACATGACGAGGACAGATATGGCCGGCTGGATTCAAGAACCTGAGAATCTTTTTTGAAGTGGTAGGTAGTGGGATACTGGCACTTGAAGGTAGTAATTAAAGGTAGATACAGATACTTCAAGAAATTTTAAAGGAAAGAGTTTGATTATTATGTGCTGTTTTGGTGTGTTTTGTATACTACTAAAATAGCTTTGAAAATTGTGTTATTATTGACTCCAATTTGTCAACGTTCATCATTTTTACTTCAAGTTCTCACCAACAATTTTTCTGGAATGAAATTTAAGAGAGTAAATAAATGAACAAAAAATTCCCTTAGAGTGAAGTATACTACATTTCCTTTGTCTTTAAGAACCTCATTACTTTTCACCAAAGACTAGTATACATAGCATCAGAGTTTAGCTAGTTTTACCAAGTCTTACCAAAAAGTATTAATAAAAACTTAATGAAAGCTATTTCTAAATAATTTTTGAAAACCATTTCAATTGTAGGAAAGTCCCGGCATTGAATAAATTTTTTGGAAACATGAAAAAATCCTGTTTTAAAAAAGTGACAATTTTTGGTTAATAAAGTTGGTGATCATTACTAATTAATTAATCTCATCCAGTAATAAAAAATACTTTGAGGTGGCCAGTTCCCTACCAAGATTCGCATCATGCTGGCCTTTTGAGCTTATATGTATTTTAATTCACTCAGGAAGCAGAAAAAGAAATACTAGGGAACTGACTAATATTCTCTTGCCACTTAACCAGTTTGCAAAAGTATTATTCTTAGATCAATTTACAAATTTTAAAATTTTTATAAAGATAAAAAGAAATATATTTATTTATTTTTACAGAGGGGAACAGAGGGAGAAAAAGAGGGAGCAAAACATCAGTGTGTGGTTGCTTCTTGAGTGCCCCCTACTGAGGATATGGCCCAAAACCCAGGCATGTGCCCGGACTGTGAATTGAACCAGTAACTCTTTGGTTCGCAGGCTGACGCTCAATCTACTGAGCCATGCCAGCTAGGGCAATTTTTTAAATGGAGATATAATGGACATATAATATTGTATTAGTTTCAGGTGTACAACATAACAATTCATTATTTGTATGTATTGCAAAATGACCACCACAGTAAGTTTAGTTAACATATGCCCCCCCCCATACACAGTTACACATTTTTTTCTTGTAAGGAGAACTTTTAAGATCAACTTTCAAATATGCAATACAGTAGTGTTACTGTAGGTAGCAGCTAGGAATGAGTACCTGGAGGGGAAATAAAGCAGGGCCCCAACCATTACAATCTAATAACGAACCGAAAACAGGAGGCTGGAAACAAAAGGGGGACACGTTTGGCTCACTAACCTAGCTAGCAGTTCGGAGCCTGGTCTGATAAGATGGCCAGGCATTCTGAACATCACCAGCAAAACTGTGATAGTGCAGGAGGAGGCGAGCCCTTCAAAGCCTGTGTTTTCCTCTCCACTAGCTGGAAACAAAAGCCTTTGTGACAGTGCATTAGTTCAAAGGCCTGAGGAGGGGGAGGGGGAACCCAGAGGCCGACTAAAGTACACAATATCTGAACTCCAAATAGTTGATGCACGTGGAATAGCTGGGTGCCTCCTTGTAGCCAGGTGCTCAAGTGTGCAGAACATACTTATTAACAAACTTCCTAAGCTTTATTTCCTCCTCGTGCAGGGCATTCTGACTACCTTAGTGCTTGCCTCTGTTTCAGAAATAAACTCGCTATCTCATTTCCCCTGTACGTGTTTGTCTCTCACATGAATTTGTCTCTTGCCAGCAAAGCAAGAACCAAGAAACAAGCTGGGGCGGGAGAGCCCTGCCTTGGGTCTATGCCTGTAACAGTAATGTTAAGTACAGTTATCATCCTGTACATCACATCCCCATGACTTATTTATTTTACAAATGGAATTTTTTACTTTTTGACCCTTTTCATATTTTTGATTATATATTTTAAATTTCTTTTTTTAATATGTTGTATTGATTATGCTATTATAGTTGTCCCATTCCCTCCCGCTTTATTCCCTTCTGCCCTGAGCACCTCCTCCAACCTGCATTCACCACCCCCTGCTTAGTTCGTGTCCATGGGTTGTACGTATAAGTTCTTTGGCTTCTACATTTTCCATACTGTTCTTAACCTCTCCCTGTTGATTTTGTACCTACCTATTATGCTTCTTATTCCCTGTAGCTTTCCCCCCATTCTTGCCCCTCCCACTTCCCACTGATAACCCTCCATGTGATCTCCATTTCTGTGATTCTATTCCTGTTCTAATTGTTTGCTTAGTTTGTTTTTGTTTTTATTTCTGTTTTTTTTTTTTTTAGGTTTGGTTGTTGATACTTGTGAGTTTGATGTCATTGCACTGTTCATATTTTTGATCTTTTTCTTAGATAAGTTGCTCAGCAGCAGGACACACTGCAGGGTCCCCAGGGTGTGTCAGGGTCCGAGTGATGGGCCTCAGCTTGAGTTGGCCCTGACAGAGCCAGTGAGGGGTGAACAGGGGCAGTCCCGAGAACTGTGCCCATGAGACGGCCCATGTGCCCTGGGCTGCGTGTGGCACAAGGGGGCTCCCAAAGGGAAAAGATGGTGGTGGCCATGGCCTTGCACCCTTGAGGGTTTCCTGCTCCTCTCCCTTTCTCACAAGGGCCCCCACCACTGGCCTCGGCGCCAGGTCTGGGGCTTCCAGGGGATCCATTGTGACTGTGCTTAGGGGGACGGAGGTGCTGCCCCTCCATCTATATATTTTAAATTTCATTTATAAAGCTTTTGAACTAGCTTAGAAATCTTGTAATCTTATAGGATTATACTGAGGAAAGTAAAACAAAAAAGTTAATAGAGCACTGAACATGCTATTTTTTTTCTATAGAACATTCCACAGCGTTCTAGGAAATGGTCCTTATTGTATTCTTAGGGTATATCATCTTAAAGAGAAATGTGCCACTTACTCTGCATGATATGGAATCACTTCTTCTTGAAAAAACTTCCTTACGCTTTCCCGGAAAATGTCATGCTCAGAAGAGAAGATTCTTCTAATTCCTATATCTGTTAATTTTTTAGCAGAAGGTGTTTCAAGGCGTTCTTCCCCTCCAGAATGAGAACATCTTAAAAATATATACACATACATTAAGAAAATTAAGTGAATTGTTTCTCTTCATACCAAAATGAATGCCACTGGACAACATGGAAAAATCTTGATTTTTTTCTTCAGAGACACTTTAGAGGCAAGTAGAAAGAATGTGAAATTTGACAAACCTGTTCTAATTTGAGCATCACCACTTTTGATAGGATCTTCCTTACCTGGATGAGATTAAGAAGTAATTACCCTTTTTTAAATGATCTTTTCATTTCCAAATCCATTAAAACAGGAAATCATGCCTAGAACTAACTCTAAGTGTGAGTTGAGGTAAAATAGTGTGACTGTGATTGAAAATAACTAGTCTAGTGATCAAAATTGTATGGTCTCTAAGAAATCAAAGTGTAACATTAACCTCATGCTTTTAACCAGATTTATATGTTCCGTCTGGCCCAGTTCTGGTTACTGTTGAAACAACCAGTTCCTGGAATGAGGAGCACATGTTAATAATGAACCACGGACGATGCAACATAATATTAGAATGAGAAGAATGAGCCCAGGTGGGAAATGCATGACTGTTTCAGACCCCTCTTCTCACTTCCAATTCCTTTTCTTAAGAGAATCTGCATGTCTGCACTCTCCCCTAGGAATTCCCATCAATTCCCTATAAGGATCGCTGGTTCGGCCAGAGATGGGAAGATGGTTTTTGAGGCCTGAGCCTGCCATCTTCTCGGGTTGCCAACCACTGAAATAAAACTGCTTCTCACCAGCAGTTGAGTTTGGCTTTTGTGGAGGCAGGCAGTCCGGCCTGTGGGTCGTTTTTCCTGGTTTCAGTGTTGTCAGCGATGTAGATTTGAATTATGTAAAATTCAGATATTACAGTAAAATCACACTTTTAAGTCTTCATGTCATGTAAAATGTTTACAATTATGCAAACCCCTCCAAATTAATATTTGATCCAGGATGATACAATTTCACATAGTGAGTGTATAAGATGTAGACTATGTTGATGCTATTGTTGCATTATAGAGCCAATTTGGGTATAAGTCTAAATCAAAGTGCCCCCAAGCCAGGAAGAGAGTCCTCACCAGGAAATGAAATTGGTCAGCACTTTGATCTTGGACTGTTCAGCCTATAGATTTATGAGAAATAAACTGCTGTTATTCAAGCCACCCAGTCTATGGTATTTTTTATGGCCCTCCGAGCTGACTAATACACTTAATACACACTTTGTGTCATTTTGTTTTACATTTACCTTTTATACATTTGTTTTAATTGAGTTTTAATTTGTTAATACAATCTGAGATGCCTTTTATTTTATTTTATTTTTTTAAGAAATTAAAAAAAATTATTTATTTTTCTTTAGAAGGGAAGGGAAGGAGAGAGGGAGAGAAACATCAGTGTATGGTTGCCAATTGTGGGTCCCCTGCTGGGAACCGGCCCCTGCTAGGAACTGGCCTGCAACCCAGGCATGTGCCCTGACTGGGAATCGAACCGCGATCTTTTGGTTTGCAGGCCCCTGAGACGCCTTTTACATGGTAACCTTTAGTTATGAACACTTAATACTACAATTTTTACACTCAATCTGCCTTTTGTCTTTATAAAAACATGTTCTGGTTGCTACTTGTCATCAAAATCACTTTGAATGCCTTATTCATTCACTTAATCAATGAATACTTTCTGAATGCCTATTATGTATCAGACACTGTTCAGGGGAGACGAAATAATAGTAATAGAAATGATCAATAACTTAAAAAACAAATCATGTAATCTATTAGAAGGTAATACGCCCTGTAGAAGAGGACAGGGACCAGACTGGGGGTGTCTGGAACCAGGCAGGGAAAGGTCACCATATGAAAGTGCAGTCAGGGTTGCTGGAATTAGGAAAATTAGGAAAATGAGGTTTGAGCAAACCGAGACACTAGAGTGAGTCAAGGAGATTGCAGGCATAAATGAATGTTAGAGTAAGAATGAAATTAGGGCAGAGACTGTGAGGCAAGATGCGATCCGTTGTTCTCTACAAAGAGCAAGGAAGCCAAGTGTGGATGGAATGAGGAGAGCGGGAAGAACAGTGGGTGAGGGCAGGTGGAATGGGACCCGGACATGCAGGGTCCGTGCAGAGCACCGTCCTGTTGCCCCACACAGTCTAAAAATACTTTCCCGTCATCAAAGTGACTGGTTCCAATTTCTTGCTAGTAGAACTAAAACTGTACTGAATGCCTTTGTCCATACCGGTTTTCCATACTTGGGAATTTTTTCCCCAGAAGGAAAAATGTGCTGAGGCTAAGAAACTTGTACTTTAAGACACTGAATCATTTGCCAAAATAATTAGTAAATAAAAGAGCAGAATTTACATTGAAGTCTGCCTGGACCTTAACATTTTTATTTCTCATGTTATGTTAAGAAAACCTTTGGAATATTTCTAAGCAAAATATACCAGCGCACGGGAAAGAGAAAGAAGTGTCAGAAAGAATAAAGACTTCCAATTCAGTCAAAAGTGTTCTAGAGAGAATATGCAGAGGGCATAAAATCAAAACATTTGGCGGCAAGTTTGTTGGAACACCCATTTCTTACTTTAAGTCCAAGGAACCGGTACTGAATAAATGGGCCCCTTTTCTTCCTGTGAAGACCAGGAAATCTGTATTGAATAAACTGGGCATTGTTTTCCTAAGGCTAGGCCCTAATTCTTCTTCTTCTTTTATCAAACCCCATTTATATTATAAAGGTGAGAGAGATTCCCCTTCTGGCAACATTTGGGAGCTTCTTATACATACACAATCTCAGACCACACCCCAGACCTATGAATCAGATCTTGTATTTCCCTAAAGTGATTCATACATGCATGCATTCCAGTTTAAGAAGCTTATTGTAATAACAGCATGATCCCTGACCTAACCAGAGGGTCTCTGAGGTCCTCCTTTTCCCAACATTCTCTGTATGAGAAATTTCCTTGCTATACTTCAACCAAAATAACTATTCACAATAGACCTAATGCAGAAGCAGATGAGAATTGAGCTGTCTTCTATCTAGCCGGACATCAAGGGATCTGCAAAAGCCTTAGGCAATGTGACTCTTCTCATTTTGAGGGGGAGGGTAATTTTTCATAAAAATGTTATGTTAACATGTAATGGGTTTATTTTTGTTACTTTTAAATGAACTAAGTACTTGTAAAATTTCTCAGCTTTGCAGACGTCTGCTGATATTGATAGATACAACCCACACGAACAGAAGATCTTTGAGATTCTCTATTTTCAAGAGTTTAATGGAGTCCTGAAGTCACCAGAAGGGGGAGAGGCCCAGAGCAGCTCCACCTAAGGCCGGCTGGTAGCGTGTGGGTTCTTGGCATTGCATAGGAAAGATTTCACAAAATGAGTCTGGGTGACAGAAAGCTGGAGACAGTGAAACCAGGAAGGGCCTAGGATAAAAGAAGTGTGGAGAACAGGACCAATAAAATGGCATTTTTTTCTGATCAAGTTAGCCTAAAACACATAAAACAAACTGAAGTCCATTATGTCAACTAAAACAGCTGACAGTCAGCCATGACACTTTGATTCAAGAAGAAAATTACCTAAGTAAGAGTAAACACATCTGGCAAGGAGACACCTAAGGTATCTGCACACATGGTCAGAGTAGCCATGTGTACAGATCAGGGCCACTCATAGGTACTCTCCTGGGAAAATTCCCTACTTGCCAGAAGGGGTGTCAAGCAAAACAGCCATGTATGTCCCATAGGCTCCTGGGCAAATTCCCCACTTGGCATTTGGGATGCCGAGACATTTATTGAAGACCCAGAAGGGTGGAGCCCACCACTTTCACGGTATAACTGAGGCAGGCTCCAGGCCACTGCTGAGACCGCCGAGCTCCACACACCAGGGTGCTGCTCCACACCGCGCTGATCTCCCTTGGCATCTGCTGCCAGAGGTTCTGCCCTGCTGGACTGAGGACTTCACGTGCCCAGCTGCCTCAGGAGATCCTTGCCCATCGTGCTGTTTCTCAGACCCGCAGACTGAGATACTGGGACTCAGGTTCATCATCCCCCATTGATTGCTACATTTGTATGTTACATTTCTCTTAGATGGTTAGAATGAGAATAGGGTATTAATGTATGTTGATGTTCTACTTTGAGTGACCCTGCATTCAATAAGAGCTGAGTGAATAGCATAACTACCTTGTGTTGGCTCTGGCCTATTCCTCGGTGCCAGGCTGCTCAGCAGGCAGCCAGCCAAGCAGTTGCCAAGCTGACTTATAGGAAAGACTGTATCACAAACATACGCTTGTGACAGGAGGCAACCGGAGAGACTAGGCAGGGCTGCTTTGGTTCTTTGAAAACGTTTTCAGGAGAGAAATGAGCCTAGGAGAGGGCTGCATCAGTTCACTGGAGAGTCAGAAAAAAGTTCAGGGGGTTGGCCCAGGACCAGCCGATGACGCCCATTGCCCCCCTGGGTGCGGCGCGAGGTTCATGGGGACCTTTAGAGTTTAGGAGAGCTCGGGCTGGTCTTTGATGTGAGGGTTTTAAGTGCTGGGATTCATGGAAAGTCTTTGAGGAGCATCTCAACAGAATATTTATCAGCTTTACCAAGTGTGCCCTTCCAGAGTCACAGTCCCCACCGATTGGTCAGCGCTAGGGCAGGGAGTCTAAATCACATGACTGGGCCAGCAATGTGCCAGAGGAGGAAAGTCCTCCCTTGGGGTGGGGGGAGGTGGTGTGAGGTGGGTGCCAGTTTTGCCCATTGCCGGGCACCCAGGGCTTTCCACCTGGTGGGTGTAAATTCTTCTGGCTATATACTGTTCTGCTAGTTTGTTTAGCTATCTGTCTCAGTTTCCCCACTCCACTTGCCTCGGAATTTTCTTAGTTTCTTACTAACATGCCTCTCTGACATCAAAAAAATTTGAGGATCACTGTCTCACGAAGCTTTTGAGAAGAGCTTAAAAATGTACGTGTCTCCTATAGTCAGTGTGCCTTCTCCGTGAAGCGTGGAGCCAGCCCCGCCCTCTTCAGGAACAGCAGGAATTTGTCTCCCTGGTCCCCAATTATCTGAGTACCACAGTGTTGTAAGGAGCTAACTTATCTGTCCGGTTACCCCCATGGATAGCGAATCCCCCCAGATTCCTGTTTACCAATGAATGGATTTTATGTGTGACCCCGGTATCTGAAGATGTGACCTCATAAACACTACCTTAACAGTCATCAAGCCATTTAGACACTGTCTCCACGAGTTCCTCCACGTTTTATTAATTAAAGCATTTGTTCGTAAGTCTTAAGTAATGTCCTTGTCCTCAAGTAATGGGCTGTGCCAGGTTATCTCCTGTCCCAGAGTGACTTCTCCAGGCCTGCTTGCTCTGAATCTGCAAGGCCGCGGAAGTCCTACCCCCCTAGTTCACGGGTATGCTGCCTTCAGCCACCGGTGTCATGTTGAAGTCAGCGCGCGCTCAACGCCCAGGGGTGACCACTGCGCCTGCTTCCTGCGTCAACCGCAGAAGCCGATCCGCTGGGGTGGAGCAGGGAGACAGGGTTTGGTGACACCCGCCTTTCGGCCCTGCCCTCTGACAGTCCCAGTAGCTCCCACCCGGCCCCAGACCCTTCTGCACCCTCTCTGGTCCCCATGGCCTAGCCCTAGTCCCCGCGGCAACTGCCACCCCTGGCAGCTGCCACCCCTCGTGTACAGGCTGTTTGGTTCCCAGTCCCCAGGAGGGGTGGCTCCCGCTGCCCAGGCCAGGCAGCCTTCTGGGCAGGGACAGCTGGAGCGGGGGGCACTCACCTCGCAGTATGCGGGGGACGCGGCGCACACCGGCTGCCCCAAAGGCGCAGGGACCCTCGGAGAAGGCGTGAAGCCATGGCTGGGACGATGAAGAGAGGCGGGGCGGAGGACGTGACTTTCGGGGGGACCCGAGGGCGGGACACCCGGTGGGCGGGCTGTCAGCGGGGACCCTCCCACTATGCAGCCCCACCCCGAAAATGACTGGCTGCTCCGAAGTTGAAAGCACCCAAGCGCCTTGTCGGAGCTTCACCCTGCAACCCAGACACCCCAGGCTCGCCCCTGGGGGCGTTGCCAAGGGTTGCAACACGTCCCTCTTCAGAGTTCTACAGAATTAAAGCAAAACCGTTTGTTCCTTTGCTCTGCAGAATTCTAGCTAGTTCATCTAAGCAGTTCTTTTGAGAATTCATGAACTGCTTTGAGACACAGAAGTAAGCCTCCTAGCTTTGAAATGGACCCACACACAAGCCCACAAAAAGTATTTTTTTCAACATTGAAAATCGATTCACTTTGCACAGACAACTACACAAGCACTAGTTTCAAAGACTTGTGCTGTTTTTTTTCTGGCAAAAATTAGCGACCACTTTCTGGAAAAGAGTTATAAATATATTCAGTATGCAAATCAAACTCATTAGTTCAGTTCTCCAATAGCATTTGATTTGAATTCACGTTTTGCCACTTTCTTTTTCCTCAGGTCCTCCACTTGTCATTTCAGTGGAGTGAAGTCTGAGCTCTTGACATTTGTGGATTTGGTTTTTTGGTGCTAGAGTATCTCTGAAAGTTTTGAACTCTAAAGAGTTTTCAGAGTGGATTGGAAGGGATTTACACCATGCTAATAACTGATGGCAATGACCAAGGGCCTGCAAAGGAGCAAGGGGAAAAGGGATTTTGTGTTAGAGATTAAGAACGTTGTTAATCCACCGGACGCGAGAATAATTTTCGAAGACCTTTCAGGGTTTTGATCTTATTTTATTAGCCAAGCTTAACCTGTGCAGGGGCGAACTCTCGGGGTGTCCAGAGACACAGTGCCCAAAAGGGCTGCAGGTGAGAGTCACACTGAGTGCTTACAGCTAAGTCCTTATAGAGGGGCGCAGAAGCAAGCGTTGAACAGAAGCAGACCAGACGTGGCAGTTAGCTGTTTGCTGACAGAGACCGCGCCAGGGAACAGGGTGGGGATTCAAAATTCAAAACTAAACAGATTACAATCTGCGTATCTTGCTCTAAGTAGGGCACTCACGTACTGCAGGCTGTCTGCTCAGCCTTTGTTTGCATGCTGTTCCTTGTTCCTGTTTTGCTGTGGTCAGGCTATGTTCTCAATTTCCCAGATCTCAACACTAACAATGTAGAATATAAAGAAGTTAGGAAAGAAGAAGATTGATTGCAAAGAGTAGTGTGTGAGCGTTAGCTGATAGGGGTGGGCAGGGCTCCGCATGTGGGTTTGCTAGAATTCTGGACTTGCTGGCTGGTCAGCTGACACTGCTTTGACCATCGGGAATCTATGTCAGGGTATTTAGCAGCTTCATGGGAGTAATGAGGGTAATAATAACACTGCACCACTTAGGTACAGTCGGAGAATCACTACAGTAGCTGCTCCTGTTGAATCAGAATATCTGATGATGAGGCCCAGGGGTTTGTATAGTAAACACATCCCACAGGCGATTTTTTTTTTTTAATAGGCTTGCTGCATCCACTTTACTTTGTCTGCATAAAAACACTATGTGGCGGCCCAAAGCTCGAGCCTGGGTCTTCTGCATGGAGACTCGCATATGGATCCTTCCTAGAAGGTCAGTGAATTTCCCATAGGGAAACTTGGTGAGTATGGTCTCTTTAGAGGTGTTTGGGTGAGATAGCTGCAGATCTTGGAAATGGCATAAAAGGTGGCCTTGGCAAAGTTGTCCAGGGTGGCAAGGCGGCCTCTGGCCTTCCATACCAGTCATTCTCAGCAGCTTCTTGGGCGAAGAGGCCCAGATAGTGACAGCGTCTCTGAGAGTAGGGATCCAGGCACAGACATGCAATGGCCTCTCACCTTGTGAGGGATGATATGGGGCCTGTGGATCTTGATCCCCAGTAGCCTTGCTACCCTGCATCTATGGAGAAGTGGGCCAGGACCATGGCCCAGCACCCGGTAGTGGTTATCTCTTTAAAGCACTTAACACAGAGATCAACATGGCCCTTGTAGTCCCCGAGGGCAAGAAATGCCTTGAACTTGGTCCAGTGGCCAGCTCAGGTTTGCTTTTACATGGGCCTAATCTTCGAAGATGTTGTTCCATTTGTCACATGTATGTACTTTGTCCTGTATAATTTGAACATATGTTGGCTAGGTCACACCCCTTCACCCCTAGTATATATTCCCTAAAAACAAAGGAGTTCTTTTAGTAACTACAGCACAGTTATATGTAGCTATTTAACCTTGAAAGAACATTGTTAAGTGATCTATAGTTCTTATTCCAGTTCAACAAGTGTCCCAAAAATATCCTTTTGTTATGATGAAGTCTGTTAAAATAAAAAACCTAAGACACGACCCGTTTAGTCATACAAACAAAGTTTAAAGTAACTTGACTGGGGTCATTTCTCAATTGTGCTTCTGAAAATCAGACACGAAACTTGAACTAATCCTCAAGGTTGGTATGTAGAAACGACTGACCAATTCCCTATCATTTAAGGAAATTCCAATATTATAACCAATCACTGTGAAGAATAAACAATACTGTTTCCTCACTATATTAAGAATATAACCTTGAACCTCATCCCATGTTTGAGTGCTTCTGGTTCTGAGAACTGTCTTTTGGGTATGTGTGCAATAAATGTATACTAATTAGTACTTTGGAGATACATTGGTTTTACTTTGGCTATTTTTGGACTTTTGACAGTCCCTCCAGGTTCTCTTTTTCATTTATGGCACTAACATTTTTTGAAGAGTGAAGGCTAGGTATTTTGTAAAAATAACTTAGTCTGGTGGTTTTGAGGCTTCCTCACGGCAGAATTGGGCATAAATACGTAATACGATGTCTGCCGTAGCACAGCACGTTAGAATGTCCCTGGTGCTGGTTTGTCCCATTCTTGGTGAGGTTAATTTGAACCTCCTTAATTTTAATTCCTTAGTTTGGTTAAAATGGTGTTCACCAGATTTCTTTACTGTAAAGTTACTATGTTTCAATTTGTGAACTAAGAACAAATATGCTTCTGAAACAGAGTGATCTGAGCTCAAATGAATGAAAGGTTTCACAAATTACTCAGATAATTTAGGCAAATCATCCAGTATTTCATGAATACTTTTAGCCATTTATATCTTTCTGGCAGGAATAAGTCACAGCTTTTACCCAGGAGTTCTACCAGACATGCTTTTATTAACTGAAATATCAGTTAGGGACCAGAGTAATCAGGGAATGTTCCAGTTGGTGCATGTTAACGTCAGGAGTTAGTAGAAGGAAAAGAAAAATAAGGTCACTGGAGAAGTGAGGAACAAAATTATGAAAGAGCTATAGAAAGGAAGGAAGGACAAAAAAGAAACCTGACCAACTGAAGGACGTGTGCTGGAAAGAAATTCAGGTTCACCATGAGCTACAGGATATAATGGATAGATTTCAACACGAGATGACATGGGTTTGAATTCTGGCTCTGCCTGTTAACCATTTGTCAGTTGTCATTTTGGGGATTGAGTGGGCTGGTGTTTATCAAGGGCATGCCACAGAGGTTGGCTGCATTGTAACTATTCAGTTACACTTGACCAGTATGTTTATTATTATTGAATTTTACACCAGGGAACCATTCATTCTCTTATTCGGTAAATACTTGTTGAGTTTCTCCTAACGTCGAGGGTTGATGCTGTAGAAGATAAAATCCCTGCTTTCAAAGATTTTGATATAGTTATGAAAATAAGACTGGTGTGAGATGATTTAGAATACAAGACACAGTACGATAAATGTAGGAGAAAGCTAATGCTTCAGAGTAAGGAGCTGACACTGTGGGTTGCCTACTTGGTTTGCTTCTTTTGTCTCTTAATTTGTATGGGATAATAGGAAAAACATGCGCCGTAGCCTTGCACAGATGAAGGTTGAAAACCTCTGTCTGAGTTACTGAATTTCTCTGTCCCTGTTTCTTTATTTGTAAAATGGAGCTATTAATAGTATCTATCCTCAGGGTGGTGAGGCAAAATATGTCAAGCATTCAGTCTGGTAGCAACAGGAGCCCAGTACATAGTGACACCCTTACTGTTTTTCCCGAGCTTAATTCTCGGGAGAGGCCATGCTCTTCCCAAGTTGCCAGGGAAACACATAGGACCCAACCCTTCCTTTTGGTTTAATTACTGTCCTTCATTCAGAAAGGATTTGCAGGACAGAAGGAGATTTGACTTTGGGTGGTGAACACACAATGCAATACACAGATCATGTATGATAGAATTTTACACTTGAAACCTATATAATTTTACTAACCAATGTCACCCCAATAAATTTAGTTTTAAGAAAAGCTTAATAAAAGAAAAGAAAAGAAAATGGACTTGTGGCAGCTGCTCCTTCCAGTTTCCAATATTTAGGCCAGTATCTTCATTGGACACTTCAGACAATCCTGTTGATGCTGCCAGACTGCAGAGCGAGGCAGAGTTACTAGTGTTTGCTTTAGGTCTAAGTCTGCTCTGCTTAGTTCTCTCAGTAGTTGCTCTCCCTGTTTTAGGGAAAACGAGACAAAGAATGGCGAGGCCTCCTTTCCTAATACTATTTAAGAAAATGCTGCCCTTACCTGTTCCCCATTCCAGAAAAGTTTGTAATCAACACTAGGGATTTTTTTTAAAGCTACTACCAATAAAAGCTAAGCAGAAAAAAAGTGTCATTTTCCCAGATTCTAGAACTGAGGACTAATTGCACTAGTGTGGTCTATACAACCATTGAGAACGTTAGAGTTGAAACTTTCTTTGTCTCTGGGGGAGCAGAGTATTCATTCTTCAAAGAAGAACACAAAAGCCCAAACCATGAAGGAACAGAGGTTCTGTCCAACTCTTTGGAACCTTTCAAATGTGTTGAACTCTGATGAGGATTACTGCAGTGTCACAGGATCACACGTCAGACACAGGGAAGTTCACGATAGTGGAGAGAAGAAGTAGACTAAAGAAGAAGTGGAGATAATCCCATAAT